CTTCCTGTTAATACCACTGCCTTACTGAGCCCTTTTCACCTAAACACTGCACCGGCCCGCACACTATGAGTGACCACAATCCCGCTGTTTCTTTTCAACTGCCAAATGTGGTACGGTCCTCTGATAATCTCTGTAAATGATAACCCAACACAGCCAGTAACTCTTTGTCCACAGACACCTGCCATCTGCATTTCCACCCCAGTGCTGTCCCAGTTCCCATCACAGGACGTTACGACATCTTATCTCACATACTTAAATTTCTCCACATCGCAAACCAATTAGAGAACTGATTCTCTCAGCAATTTTATTCCATTTTGACATTTCTATTCTTAACATTTTTAAACCGCCTAACAATCCTCATAATCTGATCTCGATAGGCAAATGTTTGTCCTTCTAATCAACAACGGCTTAATTTTTCCTGATTTGCACTACATCTCATCTGTCTGTGCTAGTTTGTCGAACCTTCATGTGCACAACTTAAATGTGGCCTTTGGCTAGCACGCCTGTTGTCATTATCTTCCTCCCAGGTTTCACTACCTCCCGTTCCCATGGTTTCCATCTCCGTGTTGGGGTGTCTATCTCATAGACTCTCAGACCAAAGCGGACGTCGCCTTTTTGAGGCTCCAGTATCGGCAGGCCCCCCAGGGTGTTCAGCTTTCCGCTTTTCGGTTAAGCCTTCCGTTCATTCCCGGGTGTTCTTAGGTTCCTTACCCACACTCCGATTATCTCGACTAGTCAACTGTCCACAGTTGTCGCGTCACAGTATGCGCAGAAACGCCACACAGCTGTGCAGACGGCGCTGCGCTTAGTTACTAAATCCTTGTTTCCAGCGCCAGCTGCTCTATTACATCGTCTTCGCTATTTGCCACTTGTGATGGATAATTTACAGCTGAGACGCATAAGGTTAAACCAAGACCTTCTGCATCTCCCGATCTAACGACGGGCTTATTTATCGAGCTTCAGTCCTGAATTTTCTTCCTGTTCTCCGCATAATATCCACAGCTCTGGATGTTTGTCAAACTGCATTTGGACTAAACTTTTTTCGTTGCCTGTATCCTAAACTAAGGAAGAAGATCCCCTCCCATATTCGTACAATATCATCCCGTGTAAGCTTTTGAAACATCTTTGGTTTCTTTCTTTCTGTCAAGAAAAAAGAGTGTTTTTGCGCTACACCATCTACCTGACACTATTTGGAAGAGGCTCTCGGCCCTCCTAAGCTGCCCGTTTACCTTAAATAACCTACTACTTGTCCTGAGCAAATGCACTAATCAGCATCGATTCTATAACGTCAACTCGCACGTTCTCGGCCAATAAACGCCACCTTATCTACCTCTTATATGCAGTCTCCCTTCCTAGGACTACATCTGCACTTGCTTCATGAGTTGCAGATTTGTTGCCGAGGATTTGTGGCGGCTGCCATTGAAATCTCCAGTCATCCCAGACGGCTCGTTCCTTCATGCCGGCTCACGCTTTTGTTTTACTCTGCCAGCTGTGCTTAATGTGTGGTGCTATTCTTTCCCAAGTGGTGGTGGTGAATATACCCTGCAGGGAAGATTGCCCTGGTACTTTGCACCATGCTGTGTTCGCATGCCCGCCACCACTTCAGCAGACCGGATGCTTCACAGGTGGTTCCGAGCCGAAGCTTTACTTCAAGAAATCAAGAAATGAGCACCGTTTCTGTCTTCTGTATAGCTGCTGGCCTAGAATTCTACCCCCTTTATTTAGCTGGCAACGCTATGATGTGCATTTGGAAGGTAAAAATCCTTTCGCCTGATGTTAAAAAAATATATCGGGAAGCCTGAAGCTACGTTGAGACGCTCACGGCTAACGTCGACGTGAAAGGCTATTTTCATGCTCGCCTTAGCCGAGGTTGCATTATACCAGGTCTAGTTCGTCAGCCAGGCATAACGCACTCTCGTCACTCATGTTCCAGGAAGTAGTCCCATAAATCTAAATTCTAAGAACGTCATTATTCCCTGAATACTAGCAATCAAGCCTGTTGGTTATTTTGCCATTCCCCACTCGTTTATTGGGGCAGGCAGCAGTGATACAGTGACTGATGAACTATAAACTTTTTTCTGTTCATTTCACACTTCTAGTTACAGTGCAATCCTTATCCGCTATCTCGCTGGTTGTCGCTCACCCCATAGTTATATGGCTCGTTCCCCTTTCATTAACCTCCCTTTCGTACAACGGATAAATTCTGATGGCATCCTGCAACTGGGCTAACAATTAGCGATATGTGTATAAGCGGCTCCGTAATCACCCGTACCAACCAGCTGAACGCTTAGGCTCCCTACGCGATGCCTTGTTGGCTAAGCCCTCATCCTCCCAAATTACGCGGCTGTTCTCGTCAGGGCATTAAACCTACTTATCTACTAACTCTCACTGCAAAGCTTGAAGCACAACTGTTATCATCAATGCTTTCTGTCACAGATATACTTGAAAGTGGTGCAAACTTGCCGGGCCGAAGCACACTAATAGTGATTTGTTGTATCCCTGATAAATCGGCTACCTGTGCTAATCCTTGGATGGTAGGTTATCTAACAAACCCACCACTTTGGTAGATTTATTTATGTTGCTTCCGTCCACCTTTAGATTTTTTCTGCTTGTGGACACCATTTTATCTGATACCTCGCCACACCAACGAGACCAGTGAATTCATCTCAATTGTTCTTCTTGCCAAGCTTCAAACTTTGGCTCCAAACGTTTCGCTTGCATTATTTTGGTTGGTTCCTGGTTCACACCTATATGGACTTTCATGTAAATCAAAATTACCTTGAATATACATCGGCACGACTACCGGTGTCAATCCTCTCGCGTCATCCAAATCCAGCTGCCAGAGGAATACACGTTCCATGTCCGATTACCACAACCTTCACATCCATTACATGGCTGCCCAGAAATTGAGGTATGCCGGTGCAGTGATAGCATGACGCTGTCATATCTAGTCTGAAGGCACTCCCGCAACTATTTTCTTTTTACTCTCGACTGCCCCCTGTCTTCTACCTGCGCTTCCAATTACAGCCACTGACAAATTATTAGCAAGGCCCTAACCTACACTGAGGCGAGGTGTTCCTAACCCGCTGAACCCTTTGTTCGGACCTACGCATCCAAGTTTCGTGATTTCAGTTTGCTCCTCACACAAGCTAAACCATTTTCTTACGGTGCTCTTCCAGACCAATGCATTACCGGTACCTCTCACACGCAAGTGTCCTCTATACCTGATTTCCCTCCAAAAGCGACACTGTAGAGTCTACTCAGTCCCACTGTAAACGGATTGCAGCTCACTAAGCTATGTAAATGCATTCAAATTGACTGTAAACCGCACATTTGTGAATCACTAAGATTGTAGACCACCCTGGTGACACCCATGCAGAGTTCAGGTGCATAGCTTCCTTCCAGTTAGGCAGTGCCTGTTAAGTAGTCCAAGGATCGTCCGTCAAACCCACAACAATCACTTTACTCAGTAGTACTCTGCCATCTGCCCCCTAAGTGAATGCGAAAGACTTGCGTTTTTTGCTGAAAAACTAAAGCGCATTCTTGATGTTTATGGCCCTTCAACGGACATCCGAAGCTTGTTGCCGCTAGACCCAGGCGATCGATCTTCCACTCAGTCCCTAAAAAACCACACGCGTGTCTTAACAAACCGAAAGACTGTGCTTTTTTTCAGTCGTTAACTTCCGGACACAGGGTCATACTGCTGAGTATCATCAGAGCCCCTTTATTCGGATTGCATTTAATTCATCTCCATCATCGACATGTCTCCTCCGCATGTTCGACTTCCTCCACCGTACGCTTCACATCATAGACAAAAGCGAGTTTAGGGCATCTTATCAATCTCCAAGCGGTTTATTCTCGGAACACTGTCGTCCAGCAGCTCAAGCGTGGTGCGAATATGCTGAGATTCGCAATAATATCTAAGTACCTCATTCTACCAAAAGAGTTTTTTTCCGCCACAGGTTACTCCTGTGAAGTGCCGCCAACTACCAGGGTGGCACACACGCTTGTCGCCTCTCACGCACAGACTCGAATCGGAACCGCACTCATTCCTGCATACAATTTCAGACTGTTTCCACTCAAATAATGTCTCTCCATGGTGGTTTCAGTCGCTGTAATTTGGATATCTATTCTCTTCTGCAGTGTTTCCGCTCTGGAACAAGCCCGTCGCGTCCACTTTGTCCCTTTAACTGCTCCACTGCTTTAGGTGAGTCGTCTATAGAAGCCGCGTGAAGTCATGTAATAAAAGCTTTTGAACTGAACCAGGGTTGTTTTGATAAATAGCGCAGTTTCGCACGCCTGCCCTACATAGTTTCTTGGAAGACCGCTGTACAACACTCCCTGCTAAGCTGGTGTCCGTTCTTTCGGTCAAATAGACGATTTTGTCTTCCGTGGTTTTTGTTCAGATCTATGACTCAGGCACTCACGATTAAGAACCAAGCCCTGTTAGGAGTATTTAGAAAGCCATAACGCCTGCGTTATTTCGCCGTGACTGAGACTATTAACAACTCACGTTCTATCAAAAGCTGAATGATATTTTACAGTTATAGATATTCTCACACCAACACACTTAGAAACGAAATTATACTAACTGTTCAGACGGCATTTAGTCACACGTATTGTTGGAAGGTACAAAGGTTGAAACGTCGAGAACTCCTTATTTCGTCTGAAGATTTTTAACTAGATTTCCCACCCAGTGTCCCACAGGCTACTGGAGGCATTGCCCTTATTATTACGGCCGCACTTCTTCTCAATGATGCCTTTGCGTTCTCTCAATAAATTTCATCCCACTGCGGCAACCATCGACGCCCCATGCACACTGGTGTATTTTTGGCTATGTTTGACTTTTACCCTAATTCACTCCTGCGCAGCGCCGCAGGTAGTGAGATGCACATTCGCTTTTCTTTTTATCAATACATCAACCTGGGTTCAGATGTCATACCCAACTATCCTAGTCCCATATAGTCTCCGGGGTCGATTAGTGAACTGGGCTCACGATTGGCGGGTAATATGATAACTGTCCGTACGCCTTTGGTGTCCCAATGTGCTCGTGACAAAGGCTGTCGCTGATTACCCGCTGTGTATGATAAAGGCGTTCTTCGTTATGTTTTGGATTATTCTGGCGCTAATTAGCCCGTAAACCTTCACCCTACACAGCTCGACAGATTGGGTATGTGCGATGCCGCCGTTTTCTGTCACATGCCATCAATGAGCACATACAACAAATCTCATATCGGCAACGAAATTGGTTGCAAAACGCTGGATTATCTTAGTTCCTTTGCAAACCTGGAGAGTGGAGCCAAATCATCGTATGATTCTGATGACTGCTCCAATCCGAACAGTCAATCGAAGCTTCGTTATGATCCTGTTGAATCATTGGCGACTCCACAACCCCAAGAGACCATCATCGATGGTTTTTCCATATTGTCATTCAGAACAAAAGAGGATCTCACGGTATGTGCTGCTTTCGGTTTTCATTTTCTGGCCAGCCTTTTCGGTTGTTGTGAGCTAACTATCAGACGACGGCTCTTCTAAATCTCCCAGTTAAGGGGTATACGTTAAGATTTGTACTCGAGCTGCAAGACTAACCTCACTTTTGACTCGGGTCGTTTGTTGTCTCTTGAGGGTTGAGCTTGACGTAGCGTGTTCGTTCAGTCGACAGAATCAACAGAGCTGTGTAAAGCAAAAAAGAATGCAACCTGTTAGGGATTTAACTTCTCGATTGCTCTCAAGCAGAAGAGGGTGTCGGCAGGCTGGAAATGATGTTGGGAGTGAATTCGTTCGAAGACTAGACAAATTGCGTTTATGTGTTAATTCCGCTGCTTTCGTTGGAGTTTTAAATGTCGAGCTAATGGATGCATGAATTATGCTAATCAACTGGTGCCAAAGCTAGTTCTTTGGAACAGCCCGCACGGAGTGGAAACTAACCTGCATTAGTTTTAGTGCTTTCTGAGACGTTGAGCAACTCGAGACAAGATGAACGTGGTTGCTGCTTAGATAGTTGTTTTCCAACCCTCTACTATATTGTGCAAAGCAGTTATGACGAGCTGAAAGAATATGCTTCGGTTATTGTAATCCGAGCTTATTTCTATGCTCACTACTAAAGTAAGAAGGTGACTTCCCATGCATTTTTAAAGACCGCGCAACCATCCTTATTGCTTCTACCACCGCCGGTTTCCGGGGCCCGGTCGCAAGGCTAAGCTGGAATAATAATCGGGGATTCTCGGCTTCCTGAACCTCTTCATTTTCCTTAGCCTTCCCTGTCCAGAAGGCTTCAAGGTCGTGCGTTCGCTAAGTTGACTTGACTCCCGATAGTTCATCGGCCTGAATTTTGTTCGGGGCCAGCGGAAGATCGCATCACTAATACCGACCTTCGGAACAGTATCAGGCTATTAATAGGGTATGCCCATCTCTATTCCCCTCATCGTCGCTACCCACCGGCGCCTTCTATCAGTGTTCTTCATTTTCGGCATTCCTAAGACTTGTGGCATCACAGTGGTTTGTTGCTGGTTTATTTTTTCTGGCGTCAG